GCTATTTTCATTTTTATTGACTCAACCTCCGCCGCATTACATTTAAATCGACGCGGTGTTCTGCGTCAGCTGCTTTTACAATCGTTTCGCGTTATCTTCGATTACTGTCTGCCCCACGATCCACGGTATATTGGAATATAACGAAACGGGCCGATATTAAATGCCGAAACGAAAGAGAGCAACCCTCTAATTTCAACCCCGCGCGCGATCGTTAAATAGAGGAATTCCGAGAATTCGTCGAGATCCCTTTGCTTCATGGGCAAAGGAAAGGAAAAATAATAAAAAGGGAGAGAATTTACGCGGTCTAATTTTCCGTTGTTGTTCCCTATCGTTCCTTATATTTTTTCCCTCCAAGCGTGAACAACAGGATAGAATTTTCCGCGAAATTTCGAATAATCGAGCTTGAAAATGGAAACGGAATGAAGTTGTAATGGATATCTAATCGCGTGCGGATGATATTAAGGAAAACTTGTGATAACGCAGATTGTAGAAAAGTATGCGAATAATAATAATTTTGGGGAAATTTGAATAACGAATCTAATATGAAATAAAGAATTATTCAATTTTTCAAACGGTACAACGTGAAATTTTTTAATATCTTTGTAACTCGCTTAACTTTACGTTTGAAATATCAAAGTCAAAGATTGTACTATTCCACGCAATCGAAAAATTGCAAACTTTTCTTACTTACGTGTATATGAAATTCCAACAATTTGTCGCCACAATTAATTCAAACATTGAATAGAAATATTTTAAGAGATGCATTTTCATCTACTGTATCGCGTAGCCACATTTTCTTATCGATTTCACAATTATTAAATAAATAATCGTATCGATTTTTTCTACATATCGTTTACTTGAAAAACGATCGATTCACATAACCGAAGAAATTTTCGAGTTCGTTTAGAAATCAGAAAAATCATAATCTCTGTTGAGAAAATGATTGGCTCAGGTCCGTGGGTACGCCACCACCCAAAGGACTCACGAAAGTGGGTCCAAGACCCTCTTTCGTGGTCCCCCTGTGCGGAAAATATGAATTTTTTCACAAAATCTATCTTTATCGAAGGATTAGAAAAAATTTAAAAATTTTCTAATTCCTCCATTATATAAAATTCCTAAAATTTGTCAAGATTGGCCAATTCTATATCGATGTGAATAATCGGCTGTCAAAATTATTCTCTTTGCATTTAAACGTCGAACAAACCACGTTTTTAATATTCTTACCGCGTTTAAGCCGATCGGGAAAATGGCAGCCACCACATCGTATTAACCGTAGAATCATTTCATATGTCGAGCAATACGATAATTCTAAAACGAATTTCACTTCAATTGCATCTGCGACTGGAATTCCACCTTTTTCTTCGAGCACCTTCTTTTTTCCGTCACGTGCAAGCCTCCTTCTCTCTTATTTCGCCTTCGTTCGTGTCTTCGTTTAAATTAAGTTTTCTATTTTTTCCCCTTCACCCTCTCTCTCTCTTCTTTGCCTTTTCTCTCGTTTCATTTTCGAACGATTGTTCGAAACGGCAAACACGATATTTCCTTCGTTGTTACTCTATAATAACTTCCAAAACAACAAACCTAACAATATCTAAATTCAATATTTGCTTTCCATTTTATATCCATGGCTACAAGCCAAATGTAATAAATGTGTCTAAAACTGTTACAACTTAACTGCGAAACTTTATAACTTTGCAATTAGCGAAGCGAAGTCGCGTGTAAACCGAATTGTATCCATCGGATACTTTCATAAGAACAAGAAACAAATAAGATTAAAACGAATTGGACATAAAACTCCGATAATCCTTTAAAATGTGTATCGTTTATCACACGATACGACTAATTCGAAACAAGTTTTGCAATTATTCTCAGCAAAATTCTCAAATGGTAAAATTTCCAAAAAAAAAAAAAAAAAAGGTCGCTTCGCGAGTTCACCAAACTAGGCCGATAATTATCATTGTAAAATTCGATTGACCTTACTCGTCTACAATATTCTCCTTTCTCTTACAATGTCACCACTCTACTTGGTGATTTCTCCATGATGATTTGCATAATGGAATATACGCACGAGCATACGTAACACACACACATACACACGAGCAAATCGGAGAACTTATTTCACATCCATCGATGTCGTAAATCAACGGACAATCGAAAGGAAAATCAGATCAGACTTGGATAAAACGGAAGGAAAGGAATGGCGAAACGTCGGCAGAAACGAAGTGTCAACAACGGAGGAACGAAACGATCCTTTGTTTTCGCACGTCGATACATTTTCTTCCCATTCCCTTCCTCCCTCCCTCTATCTCTCTCTCCCCCCTCTCTCCACTCCAACGTCCGCAACTCGGTGTAAATTACGTTTCCGCGACCTATTGGTGTTTTCGCCGCGAATGGAAGCTCCGACCAAGGGTTTCCAAACGTAGACGCGCGGAGGGTAATAAAATAAATTGCAGCACTTAGCAGAGAGGCTCCAGGCTCGGTTAATGCTCACCGCCCCCCTCCCCGACGCAACTCCTCCCCCCTCGCCAGTGAACCAAGCCCAGTTTACCACTCCGCCCTCGCCAGTTTCCCGCCGACTAAACTACCTCGATTAGCGATGCTTAATACGTCCCTCGGCCAAGTTGATGGGCCTCGAAACAGGTCGGCCATCCTCAACTGCACGATTACCACTTCATCGTCCGCTTCATCCCTCAGAATTCTCTTCAACTTTCCATCTTCCAAGATCTGTTGGCCAACTTCTTTCGTAGCTCTTATATATATATATATATACTTCAACTCTGCATTCACGAGGTTCGAGTTTGAATATTGGTGGTGGATTTTGGAAAGTTCTTTCATAGTTAGGAAAGATCAAAGATCGGGATTACTACCGTCGAATTCGGGATTCGATATTAATTTGCCCGTGTTTGAGTATCGAAAATTCGGCGGAGTGAAGAAACTCGGGGAGGAGGAAGTAGAAACGTTCTTGCATCTGTGCAAGTGTCTTGAACATCGGATATCGAGAGTTTGAATCGAGTGTATCTTAATGTGGAAATTTTATGATTTTAATAAGATAAATTGTCAAATAATAAATATATAATAATAATGAACAGTATAAATGTATTTTTATATTGTTTAATTGCGAGGATAGTGTTATAAAAATATATATGATGATAAGAATGTCGATATACGTTTCATAAAGATTTGAGATTTTCGTAGAAAATAAAAATTTCACATTATGACGCTGGAAAAAAAGGATGGAATGAATAAAGGAAATGAAAGTAATGGTAAAAATTATTCGTTACCATCATTTCGTTCAATATCCTTCTATTCCCAAGCATTGTAGCTCATTTCATTAATAGTATTATTCTTTACTCTCTGATTAAATGTTCGCGAAGAGATTTGAATTTTTGTTTCAAAAAAGAAAGGAAGAAAGAAAGAAAAAATGTCGGAAAGTCTCAACGGTAACTTCATGATATTTATCTCCGTTGATCCTCGAACGAAATAGAATCAAGTCATAGCCGCAACCAACTTTTTTCATTAACGTTTCGAGAGTTTCTTCGATTTTAAAAAGTGGTCCTCGCGGTATCGGAAGTCTAAATAAGTCCAATAGGTATCAATTCCCTCTTGATCGTTTTCGATCAAGGCTATCTCAATCAGCGATACTTAATATATTCTCCGGAGAAATTTGCGAGCTCAAGTTCTTAACTTTTCGATTATATCTTTGCTGGAGTTTCTCACTTGCTGGCCCACTATCGAACACTTTCAACGTAGCATTCGAACATAACTGATTTACATGGTTAAATAACTCGTCGAAACACGAGAATTGTTTCAATTAAATTAAACAAAGAAAAATAAAAAACAAAAAAAAAATCTAATATAATACGGAGTGTTAATTTTTTTTTTATTTTGTGCCGTGTTTCTTTTATTTAATCATTATTTTTTTAATCTCTTAAACGGATATATATATATATATTTTATCATGAAACGAAACGATTCTATTGGATAACAAAATTCGTGCGTGTATTTATAAAATATTGTAAATGGAAGACAAATAACATGAATGAAAGATTGCATAGATGATCTTTAATTCGATAAAAGTAATTATGAATTCAAAAGCCATTCCAATAAACAGGACAAATATTTTTACTTAAGAAGTTATTCGAATAATTTGAATATTGATGAAGATTTGATCAAAATATCAAGATATGTATTATAATTTGTAGATGATATTAATATATTCGTAGGGTATAATATAATCAAAAAGAGATTAAAATATGAAAAACAAAAGTTAAGATAAAAACATTTTACGAAATATAATAATTTTCAATGTTTCTATCTTAATTGCCAAATGAGTACGTTATAATTTATTAATTTATATATAATTTAGTGCAAAAAGAAAAAAAACAATTACATTAAAATTATAAATTTAAATCTGAATATATTATTGCAATGAAATTCAAGTAAATAATTACTTAAATTAAAAAGTGGAGAAAATATATACTCTAGAATTTATTATGTAATTGTATAATTTATCAATCTATAAATAATGTATTCTATTTTTTGCATTTATTTACATCTTCGTTTATTTCTTATTTATCTTTCTTTAAACGAGGATGAAAATTTTATATCGTTATATAAATATGTTTCTATTATTGTTTATTATATACTGGAGTATCCTTATATTTTTGACTATTCCCCTCTTTCATTTAATCTCTTCTTTGAAAATAAATTAATAAACACACAATCCCTTTATTTCTATCTTATTTTTACGAAATTAATATTTACCGATTAATAAGTTATTTGTAAATTCATAAAGGAAGATCACCATATTTTTACATTATTTATGCGAAAATAATCGATACTTCTATTGCTTAACCTTGTGACCTAATTAAAATTTACATACATTAAATTAATTTGCATACCACGATATATGTATATAAGCATCATACATTTCAACGTAAATACGTATGACAAATTTTCAATACACGCATATCGTTCACATTTATAAATACCTCTCATCGACGATTGTTGGACAGTCAATTTCATCAATCAGGTGCGGTATTTATATACGACATTAAAAATTAAATCGATATATAATTGCTCATAAAAGAAATTAATCAAATATTCTCGTTTAAACACAAATGGTGTATCTTAGATAATCGAAACGAAAAAAAAAAAAAAAAATCAAAAATGGAACTCGTAGAGATATACAATTATTATTGGAACGAGAGATCCGGTGAGTATTCTAAATTCCTCTTTCGACAAAAGTTTCAACAATAACAATTTCACTTACTTTCCTTTTTCTTTTTTTTTTTCTTTTTTCTTTTTAGATTCAAGAACGAATAATTTACCATTGATAGGATCACCCATCATCATTCCTACCATTATATTTTCATACTTGTACTTTGTCCTAAAATGTGGTCCACAATTTATGAAAAATCGAAAGCCGTACAACCTGAAAACTTTCATTCAATGGTACAACATCTTTCAAATCATCGCCAACGCGTATCTGGTGCAACAAAACATAAGTGCAGGCTGGTTCTCCGAGATAAGCGTGTTCTGCGAAATGCCAGATTATTCGTATAAACCTGGTCCAGTGAAGGTAAGATATATTCTTCTCTCTCCGTCATTATTACCGTCAAATACACGATACAATTATATTCATATAAATTCACGTAATTCCCTCGCGCAGATAGCTTACACGATGTGGTTAACGACAATGTTGAAATTGATCGATCTCGTGGAGACAGTTGTGTTCGTGTTGAGAAAGAAACAGGAACAGATATCATTTTTGCACGTGTACCATCACGTGTCCACGATCCTTTTAGTATGGTTCATGACGAAATATTATGCTGTTACCATGACCTCGTTCGGTATTTTGATAAATTGTGCCGTACACGTGATCATGTACACGTATTATTATCTGAGCACGCTTGGGCCGAATATGCAAAAAATATTGTCTCCATATAAACCAATAATAACCTCGGTGCAAATGGTGAGTGTAAACTTGTTTAATAATTGAAATCTGATTATAAGCATTTTTCTCTTATTGCATTAGGTCCAATTCGTTATTTGTACACTGTATGCATTACAAACATATTCTCCGTCTTGTCCTGTATCGAAAGTGCCAGTTAACACCGCAATCTCTCAGTTAATCATAAATTTCTTACTTTTCTACAATTTTTATCGGCAGAATTACACAAAATCGATTCAAAAGAAACATTGAATCGTATATAATCGACACGCGTTGAACGAATGTTAGACGGGAACACGATGGAAATATTCCACCGTAAATGTGGAATTATTAATAAAGTGTAGATATGTATCGTATTTATCGATAATATGCGTGTAAGATAAGAAATATTTGTAACGATTATAATAATAAAAAATAAAAGAAATTTTAAAGTTATTTTAAAGTTCAATGAATCGTAAGTATCATAAGATACGTTATCAAAATAAATTATTTTATGCACAAGTGATGATTATTCGAAAATATTAAAAAGACAAGAAAGAAATTATACAAGCACCGATATTAATACGAATTAAAATGAAATGTACCAGTCTTGATTTAATAAAAATAAATTAAATTCGATAAATTTATACGTCAAAGATCTTTAAACGATTGAAATATGCAAAATATAAGGTAAAAAATGCAAAAATCCCCCCTTTTTTTTATTATGATAATCATAATTTATTCTTCTATTGTTATATATTTCTTACATTCCATTGTTACAATCGTTTTTCTTATTGTTGAAACTATATTTTATTTATTCTTATTATATATATTCTGTATATATATCATTCTGTATATAATATTTAGTATCTACTTACCTAAAAGTAATTCTAAAAGTTTCCATAGAAGAGAGAGAGGCTACTAGGCTAAAGTTGTAGAGTAGTCACTTACCTGAAACATAAAAATATATAATGTATTATATTATAAAAAGTATCTTAACTTTGAGTAAACTTTTGTTGAAAAAATTATTCCTCTGTAAAATGATCCCATCCCACTTTATTTTTAATCGTAGTTCACAATAAAAAAAAAAAAAGAAATAATAATAATTATACTCAACAAGATCGTGTTTCAATATGTAACTAGAAGAGATTAAATTCCTCTATATATCTTTGCAAGATTGAGTTTCAAAGTACATCTCTTGGAGATAAAGTTTCGGTATAACTCAAAAGAAATTGTGTTCATCTTTATAATAGTGATTAAAAGTTTACTATATAAATACTATATAAATAAAAAGATAATGTAAAAATGTAAAAGGAAATATGTATACGAAAGATAAAGATTATACGTATACAAGTTAATTTCTTTTTCTTTCTTTATTCGATGCGTTCAATCGAAGGAAAAAATTTTTGCGTAAAAAGATATATGCAAATTTATATTCTTTTGTTTTTTTTTCTAAGAAGAATGACAAGTTCAATTTCCTGTATTTAAAAAAATATAGAATATTCGCGTGAGAAAAAAATAGCGATAGAACATATACCCGGAAGCGTGTTTTTCGCTCAATATCAGAACGATGGATATGATTCAGATCCCGTCGTTTAAAAATTTAAAAAGAGAAAAGAAATTCGTTTCGTTCTTTTAATTCCTAGTTTTATTTTTTAAATATGGAGGAATCGTTTTTCGCGAAAATGCTAGAAATTTAATAAAAAAATTTAATAAAATATTCGTCAATTTCGTCGGTTGGAGAACCAGGAAAACTCTGCCGAATTCTAATTAGGGCGCAGAGGATCGAAAGTTTCTGTCCTCTGCTTTTCAATAGCGATTGGCATGTCACCACGAGAATGTTAAGCTTCGACCAAGGATTATGGGATTGCGAATTAGTTGCCGAACTTAAGAGCTCGTGCTATGGTCTTGTATAGGTGAACTTGCACATTCTGTACGACAGACTTACACACGCCGCAGGAGGGAAAATAAAATAAGAAATTTCTATCAACCAAACCATAACCTAATCTCCTTATCTCGTTTTTGACAGAAAGTAGTGGATCCAATCAACGATAACTATTTTCTCTCGGTCAACAAATTCGTCTAATCCCAATATTGTTCCTTCTTTCACAATCGATATCCTAATCGATATCGATCGATAATTACCAAAAAGGAAACGTCTCTAGTATTTCGCTTCACGTGCCATTAGACCCAGAAGAATCCTAATTCCACTTCCGCTCTTTCACGGAAAAGTGGCTCGCTAGAAAAGTGCACGATCTCCATTAAACGGAATGATAAAAGTCGAGAACCAATCTTCACCTTTCCACTCTTTTACCTTCAGCTCGAAAACACAATTTAATTACACAATGTCGCGATTCGTTTCTAGAGCTATTTCGCAAATTTTACATCAATCAGAAATTCAGATTTGAAAATATTTTTTTAAGATAACGAATAATGTGTGTAAAAGCGAATAGATGATCTCGAGATGAAAAAAAAAAAAAAATCGAAACTTTTGTTAAACCTTCCATTCTCAAAATCCACCCTTCGAATCCATCCCCACGACTATGTACTCTTCGAAACTTTTCAACTTGGCAGCGAAACAATCAAGAACGGTTAAATCACGGGGCATAATTTTTTCAACAACACACGTTGAACGCACGTTGAAAATGCGTTCAGATTGAATTGAAACCGTCCTCCCTCTCCCCCCCGCATTTCCATGACACGGTCGAGGATGCGCGCACGGTTTATCTGTTCGAATAGTTTACGCGACGCTAGAAATTGGAACAGAAACGAGTAATCTCGGTTGTAGTCGTCGAGAGAATGCAAATATCAATTTTGCAACGGGCCTGTGGAAAATGCAATGGAGAATGGTAAAAGACGGGGAGGGAGGGGGAGGGAGAGAGGAAGGAGTGGTGGCGGTGGTTGAGGGAGATGCAGAACCGGTACAATTGAGACATCGACATAAGCGTTTTAAACAAGTATGCCCGCATCGCTTTTGTTCCCCCGCGAGCTGTTATATCGTCACTTTACACTACCTCCGCCGTTCTGCCATTGTTCTTCCTATGAAACGCCGGTTGTCATACTTGCCTGCGCCGACGGTTCCCTCTTGAACAATGTAAAATAGCAAACTAATGTGTATCTACGCCCGCCGCCGTTGAAGGAAACCCTCGCCATGTGCCGTGTGTCGTTCAAATTTCGTTTTTGTTAATCGTGATTCCTTTGCATTTCGTCTCCCTTCTCGGAATATATATATATATACGTTGTGAATGCGAACGAACGTTGTTGGTTGGTTGGATAGGTGAATAGAGATAATTGCGTTTTTATTTGAATATCCTTGGAAATTTCCCCTTCTCCTCTGAAATATCTTAATCCTTTGATCAATAGAATGATTAAGAAATAAATTTTCTATCGTATCGACATCAAATTCTTAATCTTCGAATATAAACGTATTAATCTAAATGGGATAAAAATCTAACGATCGAGATGTATAATTTCTTGAAGTGTTGAACTGCTTCTTATATAACTTCGATGTTTATATGCAACTCGAGTAATAAAATTATTACAGGTATGATCAATCTCGATCGTTATCCTCAGAGAAATGAAATAAAGGGGGAAAGAAAACTTTTATAATCGCATTTCTGCAAGAATTATTCGTGACCGCGATACTCGGATGTGTAAATGATTCGAGTTAAATGGCAATAGTGTCGATAGAAACATGGGAGAACAATGAACATGAAGGTAACTGGTTGGAGGAGGCTAGGAGGGGACGCACAATCGCTTAAGAAACAAAGAACGAGAAAGTTTCCGCCGGTGTCTGATACAAGGGTATATTTTTCTTTCGGAGAGGGAGGAAGTGGCACGCGATAAGACGTGGAATTACCTCAATGTAGCAAGGGCCGGAGGCATTGTTACGAGACGTCATAGTCAACGGGAGAACTCGATTACTCCTGTTCCGCGAGTTGTCTTGATGAAATATAGCAGTTCGCGCTTTTATGGTAATAATAAGAGAGCCGATTCCCATCCCCTCCCGTTTAAAAAAACTTTCGTAAACGTTGATTTAGAGAAGAAAAGAGTCGAAGAAAAGGAGGTAAAGAAGTTAGGAAGCAAATTTTAAAATTTACAGACTGATGTTATTTTTAACGAGGATATAGTTTGGTGTATCTTGTAAAATAATTTATGTGAGAATAATGATATGAGATTGGACGAGAAGTTTCGTCTTTCTCTTTCGTCACAGTTCATCGTCTTTCACGATGATTTTCGAAACGAAATCATTATTCGCTATTATCACTTAGGTATTAAACTAATTATATTGAAATAAAATAATATACAAAAATTTTTAAAATGCCTACATGTATGCTATATATCCTCAATGACTTTTAATAGGGGTTAAAAATCTTCTTATTTTTTAAGAAATAAAAGATGGAATTGAGATTAAAAATAAAATAAAATATAACGCGATGGAATTTAAAAGTTCCCGTGGAAAGTTTGCAATTTAACTCGAAATTTCATGGCAAAATTAAACAGAATCTAAATAGGTTCTGATGCCTAATTGCTGTTCGGCATGTCCGACAGTTAACTAAAACTTGCGCACGTTCCAACGGAGTTTAATATGTTCTAAGAGTATACTCTCACGGTATAATTTGCATTTTCGTCCGTTCAAATTAGCTGAAAAGTTCGGAAGTTCGCGGTTGAATTCTCCTAGTCAATGAATTTTACTAGAGCATCGAAGAATTTTTTTTCTTTTTTTTTAAAAAGCTTTTGAAAAACTTTATATCGCGACTGATTGATCAAAACGATCCAAATTCGTACGATGAATTTCGTTAAAATGGAATTTTCCTTATCGAGAATATTCGTATCGACGGAACAAAAGAATCAAATTAACGCCAATTCGAAAAGAAAAAATCTCGTATCTCGATTATTTTGAATCTTCAAGTGCCAGATCGCGTAGTTTTTCATTGCGAAAATTTTTTTCCAGTGCGAGAAAAGAAACCTATGACTATGAATCGTTCTTACAATATTAAAATTAAAAGAAACAGATATAATATAAATAAACTTGGTTATTAGAGTTTGCTAAAGTTTTTTTTATTTTATCAAAAAAAAGGAAAGATAAAAGAATCTGGCGACGGGCAGAAAGTTTTGAGAATTTAGAGTTCGAAACAAAAGTATCGAAAGATAAAATAGAAGGAAAAAATGGAAAGGGATACGGTGGATACACGCGTCCACCGTACCGTCTATCTATAATTCTGTCTACAAAGAAACAGTAAAAGGTTCGAATTTACGATTTTCTTTTCTTCTAGTGAATTCTTCATCAGTCTAAGGATACCGAGATATATATTATTGAAAAGGGAGAAGAAAAGAAAAGGAGAAGGAGAGGGAAAGAAAAATTCTCCATCTAAACGTAAATCGTATCTCGATATCGAATGTCCATTCGAATGTACTTTCTCTCTTCAGATTCATTTACCTAGTGAAAATTCCTT